CTTCCGAGTAGCCAGAATTACAGGCGCGCGCTACCACGCCCAGCTAATTTTTGATTTTATTGTAGAGATGAAGTCTCGCCTGCCCAGGCGGGTCTCGGACCCGCGGGCTCAGGCAATCCACTCACCTCAGCCTCCCAAAGGCGCGAGATTACAGGCTGAGCCACCGAGCCCGGCTTGCTGAATCTATTAATAAAAAACTTACATCAAAGACGTTTCAAAGCTATCAATATTAAATTGTTCCAAACATTAAAGTAAAAGCATCAGCCTATTTTTTGAACATAGATGTAGAAATCTTGAACAAAATAATAGGAAATATTTTTAAATTCTGGCAATATCTTTTTTAAAACTTCAATAAAGTCACATTTATTTTAGGAATATAAAAATGGCTTTACAATAGCCACAGAAAAAAATATGAAATACCTTGGCATCTTCCTAACCAGAGAAGTCAAAGGCCTTTACAACAAAAACTACAAAATACTACTCAAAGAAATCAAAGATGACACAAACAAATGGAAAAATATTCCATGATCATGGATTGGAAGAATCAACATTGTTAAGATGTCCATCCTACCCACGCAATACAGATTTAACGCACTACCCATTAAATCACCAGCATCATTCTTCTCAGAACTGGAAACAGCAATACAGGAATTCATATGGAAAAGTAAATGACCATGAGTAGCTGAAACAATCCTCAGTAAAAAAAAAAAACCCAAAGCGGGAGGCATCACACTCCCAGACTTTAAGCTTTATTATAAAGCTACAATAATCAAAACAGCCTGGTATAAGTACAAGAATAGGCATACAGACCAAGGGGACAGGATAGATGCCGGAAGCAAAAACTCAATTTCTCAACCAACTCATCTTCCACAATGCCTCCACCATCAACTACTGGGGAGAGGAGAACCTATTCAGTAAATGGTGCTCGGAAAACTGGCTGATCACATGCAGAAGATTAAAACAAGTATCTCATACACAATAATCAACTTTAAATGGATTGAAGACCTAAACGTAAAACCTCAAACTATAAGAACCTTAGAAAATGCAAGAGTCACCCTTATGGATATTGGGACTGGCAACCAATTTCTGATCAAAACCCCAGTGCCTAAGCTGTAAGAGATAAGATAGACAAGTAGGACGTCATCAAACTGACAAGCTTCTGCAAAGCCAAAGAAACCACTGAGAGAGTGGGAAGACAGCCCACAGAATGGGAAAAAATATTTGCCAACTTTATATCTGACAAAGGTCTAACATCCAGGATCTACAAGGAATTCAAATGTGCTGAAAAGAAAAAACAAACAGCTCCATTACAAAGTAGGCAAAGGACATGAATAGACACTTTTCAAAAGAAGACATATGAGCAGCCAACAGATACATGAAAAACTGCTCAGCCTTACTCATCACCAAAGAAATGCAAATTAAAATCACTCTGAGCCAGGCTTGGTGGCTCAGCCTGTAATCCCGTGCCTTTGGGAGGCTGAGGTGAGTGGATTGCCTGAGTCCGCGGGTTCGAGACTCACCTGGGCAGCAAGACCTCATCTCTACAATACATCAAAAAATCAGCCGGGCGTGGTAGTGCGTGCCTGTAATTCCGGCTACTCGGAAGGCTGAGGCGGAAGGATCGCCGGAGCCCAGCAGGTCGAGGCTGCGGTGGCCGGGAGCAGCCACTGCACTCGTCTGGGCGACAGAGTGAGACTCCAACTCCAACTCCAAAAAAAAAAATCACTCTGAGATACCACCTAACTCCAGTCAGGATGGCCATTATCAATAACTCAAAAAACAACAGATGAAGGAGAGGATGCAGCGAGTATGGAAAACTTCTGCCCTGTTGGTGGGAGTGTAAACTAGCACAGCCTCTGTGGAAAACAGTGTGGCGATTTCTAAAAGATCTAAAAATCGACCTCCCATATGACCCCACAATCCCCTTACTGAGAATATATATACCCAGAGGAACTCAAATCACTCTATGAAAAAGATACCTGCACAAGCATGTTTATTGCAGCATCATTCACAATAGCAAAAACATGGAACCAACCGTGCTGCTCATCGAAAGAGAACTGGATTAAAAAAATGTGGTACATATACATGATGGATTATTATGCGTCCATAAAGGACAAAATTATGAACTTCGCAGCAACTTGGATGGATTTAGAGGCTATAATACTCAGTGATCTATCACAGAAACAAATAACTGAGTATCACATATTCTTACTCATAAGTAGACCTTGAACAACTATCATAATACTATAAGAAAGGGATTGGCAGTAGTAGGAAACTGCCAGGGGAGAGCGGGGGCACACCTAATCAACAAGGTATCTGCATAATGAACATTTGTATACCTAACCCTGAATTGTACTCCACATATTTAAAATAAAAAATTAAAGTAAAATGGTTTCACATTTGAAAATCAATCAACTTAACACACCACATTTTTAAAAAAGGGGGGAAAATATGTAGACCTTGTTGATAGATGCAGAGAGTGCATTTGATAATATTTAAGCCATTTATAAAGAAATTATTAGCAAGTAAGAAACTGAAAAATCATCAAAAACATCTATCACTTGAGAATACATATAAGGAAACACACATAAACCTCTACTTTAAGAACCACAAACTATTAAGAGAAATAAAAGAAGATATAAATAAATGAAGGAAGAAAGCACTGAGTTTAAACATTGCCTAAGACACCAGCCATCTGACTTCACATACTTGGTTTAATAGTTATCCCTCAGTTGTAAAACAGGATTAAAATACCAGCCTTCCCTAATTGTAATCAACAATAGTGTATTTAAACTTTTCAATCCATAGGCATTCAGTCATTATTTCTATTTTGATATATTTTCTGTGGCTATTGGGCTGAGAGAATGTTTTCCTCTCATGTGTGGCATGTTCCCTTCTGTATTCATCTCTTACTCATGACCACCCTCACAAACAAATGTGCTTACCTCATGTAATGAAGTGAGTGCATCACCAAGTCCTCCCATTTTACTATAAACTTTCGCTAGAAGAACTTGAGAACGTGCATCCTCCATGAGAGCTGACAGTTCATTTACTATGAAAGAACAGAATATAATAGGAAAAAACATTCATCTTATACAGATGTTCACATTTTCCTACAATTTTAAAAAAGCAGTCTTTAGAAAAAAATAATTTTGTAAAACAGTAAATAGTTGGGTGTTATCCCAGCACTTTGGGAGGCAGAGGCAAGAGGACTGCCTGAGCTCATGGGTTTGAGACCAGCCTAGGCAACATGGTGAAAACTTATCTCTACAATAAATCAAAAATTAGCCAGGTGTAGTGCATGTGCCTGTGGTTCCAGCTACTAGGAAAGCTGAGGCGGAAGGACTGCCTGAGCCCAGCAGGTCAAGGCTGCAGTGGCCGTGAGCGTGCCACTGCACTCCAGCCTGGGGGACAGAGTGAGACTTCGACTCAAAAAAAAAAGTAAATAAAGTTAAATTTTTTCTAGGCAGTCAACTGAAGAATGGCTAAGTTAAAAAAAAAACAAAACTGGCTGGAAGAAAAGTTAAAGAACTGGATTAGCAACTAGAGGGTTTCCTTAGACACATTTCGAGAGATAATAAAGTACAGTCATTAAGAGCATTGACTCTGATTCCAAATAGCCTGATTTCAAATCTAGACTTTACCACTTGCTAGCCATTTAATCTTGAACAAGGTACTTAACCATTCTGTATTTCTCCTTCACTTGTAAAATAGGGAAAAAAATAGTACCTACCTCATAGGATTATTTTAAGATTCAAAAGGCTAACAAGTTATTAAATAAATTAACATATGCAAAGCAATTAAAATAAAGTCTAGTAAATGGTAAGTGCTATTTAAATATTTGGCTAATACCAAATATTTGTGATCTAAGAGCAATAACAGAACTCTAGATAATTAACAAAAATAAGTTTCTTCCACTATTTATCAAGTACACAGTCCATGTCACATCACGCTATTTTATCAACTACGTAAACCTGGAAATATCAAGAAAACTGAGTTTTAGACTGTTAATTTTAAAATGAGGATAATTATATTTGTCTGAAAGAATAATGTGAGTACTAATGAAAGAATATATGAAATGTATGAATGTATTAGATCATGGGCTTGCTCAGCAAATATTTATTAAATAAAAGCATTTCTATAATGTAAATATAATATATTAACTGTAAGTAAGACACATGATACTTGAATATCTCTTCTTCTATCAACTTTTCAAAATGCACATCCATATTTAGGTGTTTTGAGTGTTTCAAAGGAAGGTCTGACAGATTCATATATACATTTTTATGGAACTAATAACACTTAGTTATAATAAATGCAATGAAAAGAATTTAAACATCAATGTCATCAATGCTAATTTATTTATGTAATATTTATTTTTAGTCAGGGTCTTATTCTGTTCCTCAGGCCAGAGTGCAGTGGCATGATCATGGCTCACTGCAACCTCCAACTTCTGGGCTCACGTGATCCTCCTGCGTCTACCTCCCAAGAAGCTGGGACTACAGGCATGTACCCTCACACTTGGCTAATTTTTGAATTTTTTATAGAAATGAGGTCTCACCGGGCTCAGTGGCTCAGCCTGTAATCCCAGCGTTTTGGGAGGCTGAGGTGAGTGGACTGCCTGAGTTCGCAGGTTTGAGACCCGCCTGGGCAACTTGGCAAGACCTCATCTCTACAATAAATCAAAAATTAGCTGCGCGTGGTAGCGCATGCCTGTAGTTCCAGCTACTTGGAAGGCTGAGGCGGAAGGATCACCAGAGTCCAGCAGGTCGAGGCTGCAGTGGCCAGGAGCGGCCACTGCACTCCAGTCTGGGTGACAGAGTGAGACTCCAACTCAAAAAAAAAAAAATTTTTTTTTTAATTAAAAAAAAAGAAATGAAATGTTGCCCAGGCTGATGTTGAATTCCTGGGCTTAAGCGAGCCTCCCACCTCCACTTCCCAAAGTGCTGGTATTACAGGTGTGAGCCACTGTGCCAAGTCTCATCAAAGCTCATTTAAAAGACCATTTTGGAAGATAAGAAAACTACAAAACATACAGCAGGATTGTTTCATCATATATCCAAACATATTTAAAGCTACAATAAACATGGTACTGGTAAAAGAAAAAAACATAGCTCAGTGAAACAAAACAAAGATCCCCATAATCAGAGTCATATATACATATATATACATGCATATATATATATATATATATATATATATATATATATGAGTTTATTATAAATAAAGGTGGTATTTCTATACATAGTATTAAAGCAAAAGTGCTTATCTATTTTGGAAACTATATCGCAAAAACCATATGTAGATTAAAGTACACGGATTGAAGTTCTCAAAATAAAATTTAAAACAAAAATGCCAAAATATATATATATTTTTACAAGGTCAGGATTAGGGAATTTCTTTCAGAGAATGATAAGAAATTCACAAGTCAAAAAAAGATACGCAGATATGATATGTGATAATTAAGTATTCTATTTGACCAAAGATAAATAAATAAATCTGATAAAGAAAAGACAGTCTGGGAAAAATTATATACAACACGAATAACAGCTAAAGAATTAAAGACAAAGGATATAAATGAATAATTCCTAGAAGAAAATAAGATCTATAAAGAAAATAATGCTTAACCTTATCAGTTGTCAAAGAGATGCAATTAAATAAATTTGGGGTTTTTTTTACAGTTCTATGTAATTTTGGGAAATTTTTAGCCTTAAGAAAGTGCCATGGAGCAAGATTTAAATTTTAAGAACTATACGGTGGTATATAAACAAGAACTTTATCGCAGTATTGTTTCCAACTTCTCCCTAACCTAAATGCCCATCAACAGGACTCATCAAATAAATTATGACAGTAACATGCAAAGAACAGTCTATAAATGCCTAAAAATGAAGAGCTATATTTGCTAACAAGGAAAGAAGTTATTAAATGAAAAATACATACTGCAGAATTATAGGTATACTGTAATACATTTAGGAAGAAAACAGTGGTATGTAATTGTATGTGTATGAGAAAGACAGAAATGGGGCCGGGGAGAATGATTAGGATGGTACACAGGTCATTAAATGTGGTGTGCACATTTAATGGACAGTGGGAAAAGACATAAATTTTATTCGCTTTTGTAATCTTTAAATTCTAGCAATAAACAAGCACTAGATTGTATTAAAAATGACAAGCTTGAAAAAGTAAACTTGTAAGAAGACAATTTGATAGTATTCAAACAAATTTTAAGTGCACAAATTCTTTATCAGCATCCTACTCCAAGAAATACAAGCAAGTATACACTTAAGAATGATACAAGGACGTTCACTGTAACATGGTTTATAATACCAAACAATGGGGAAAAAAAAACCAAATGCCTCATAATTGAGCGAAAATTAACTTGCAAAATTATGGAACATTATGATGTTTTTAGATAGAATAATATGAATGTACAGAAACCAAAGTATAACATGGACATGTATGAGGAAAAAATTGCAGAACAGAAAGAACAACACATTTTTGAAAAGAAAAATCACATTTACTACATTTATACACATACACATATATAATCAATATATGTTAAATCACAAACTGCTTCTAGGGAGCTAATTTGAGAATAGGGCAAGTGGAATTCACTAGAGAAACAGATGACTTACACATTATATTCTTTTAGAGTGCTTTAATTTTTTAAAAAAAACCATGTGTTTCTTTTTTAAAAAGTAAAGATTATAAAAATGTTAATGTATTTAAATATGAGACAGTTGCAATGTAAAGATAAACTTTACATTGTTTTGAAAAGTAAGTTATCTTTCTATAACACAATTAACTATTTCATAAATCTGTTATTAGGTTTAAAAATACTCATTCTAGTAGAGTGGTATTCTCATAAAAGAAAAAACACACAAACATCTATTTAACCAACCACAAAAATAAAATATGAGAATACAAACACATATTTATGTAAAATAAAAAACAGATCAGACTTATCAGGTATATTTTTTTCAAATCAGGAAGACTTTCATACCAGGCTCATGAGCTACAGCATGTTGAAGAACTTTTTCTGCTTTGTCATACCATTTCAGTTTTAGTAAGAGCTCAGCCAGGTCATAGCAAAGATAATTCTGTTGTCCATTTTTGAGAGCAGCTTCATAGTAAGTGATTGCCTGAACAAAATCCATTTCGGAAAAAAGCAATGAGAATGGCATTCAAGAATAGTCAGTTTATACGTTACAGATATACAACATATGCATCAATGGAAAAAGAATAGCCAGGAAGAATCTTGGGCATATACCTGCCTATCAATTAAGTATGCCATTTTTCTTAGACAGTCAAACAACACACAAGGCAACTAATATTTCTTACAGTAAGTAGCTAAGGAACAGTACTTGTCAAAATACATTTTTAAAGATTTTATACTAGATGTCAGTGAAACTTACTGAATGCATATACTTCACTAGTTGCTGTTCAGCAATTACCAAAAATAGACAAAAATATTACAAAGGAAAATCCACTCTACCTATTAAGGGAAAAAAAACCCCAAAAAACTCTAAGCACATAACTTGCCAAAATTGGTTCAGTAGAAAGAACATTTATCATGCTTTGTCACACAATAAAAGAGATTTTATGGTGACTGATTTTGTGGCAAGGATGTAGCTGTAAGATGAAGCCTGAAGTAAACTAGTTCCAAATAAACTTCGCAAAATGAAGCAATGAAGTTGAGACACTGAGAAAGTCTTTAACACAAATCTCAGTTCATAAATACAAATACAGAGCTTACAACCATCAAAGATACAAATGGAACTTGTTGAAGACTTCTCTAGAACAGTTTAATACATTTGATTCAATAGACATATTTCAAACTGCAAAGTACTTACCTTTGAGTAGTTGTGAGTTTTGACAAGTGCTTTCCCGATTTTGCTTGCCAGTGTTCCATCTTTTGGGTTCTGATTTAATGCTTGCTGGTATGCTATGATGGCTTCTTCAGGCTAATATTTTGAGGCACAAAAAATAAGCAACAAAAAACAACTTAATTGGATCCCATTAAAGGGCAACATTTCTATAGTTAAGCTCTATATATGAAATACTTCGTAAGACTAAGCACACATTGAAGTCTAGAAACTAATAATTTCTGAAAGGTGATAGTGAGTAGGGTAGATAATTCTACCCATGTTAACTGTGCTCTAGCTACATAAACAACAATGAAAACTAAGAGACAAGGGCAGGTATGGTGGCTCATGCCTGTAATCCCAGCACATTGGGAGGCCAAGGCAGGAGGACTGCTTGAACTCAGGAGTTCAAGCTTAGCTTAGGCAACATAGCGAGATCTCATCTTCACAAAAAAATAAGGAATTAGCTAAGTGTGGTGGTGCGGGCCTACAGGCAAGTTACTCAGGAGGCTGAGCTTATTGCCTGAGCCCAGTAGTTGGAGGACGCAGTGAGCTGTGATTGTGCCACTGTACCGCAGCCCGGGTGACAGAGTGAGACCTTGACTCAAAAACAAAATTAAATTGAGAGACAGTCTTTTGACTGTTAATTTCTGGAAGCTATTAATATTTTAACAGTCAATTATAGAGAGTCAGAAGATCTCTTCTCTTTGAAGAAAATACCATCTTAGCAGCCAGTAGCTCTCTTCATCCTTCTGTTAAAGGAGACTCCTAACATGTAATCTCTATTTTAAATAACAACAGTGCTAAATTATTGGATCTCAACTTGAAAAATTAACAATTTTAAAAATTGTAATAGCTATCTCCCTTTTACTGTGATGACTAGATCTTCATTTATTAAATAAACATTATTTTAAAGACTAATAAAAAGTAACACTAATCACTAAGAGTTAAAAAATTTTTTCTAAATTCAGTAGCATCAGAAATTTTACCTCTTGAATATTCATGTATGCATCACCAAGGAGAAGAAAAGATGAAGGGTCAGGCTTTCTTTCAGCAATTTCTCTGGAAATCAAACCAATCTACTTAGCACATGCAATACAAATATCTTATTCTAAACCAATTTAAAAAAAAGTTAATCTCACTTATTTCAATTAGCCGGTAGCCTTCAGAGCGTCTTCTATATATCCAACAGTGTAATATTATAAAACCCCATCTTTACCCATGCCCAGACTTTTATGCTAGATCAACTGTTTTTGTCATTTTCTATTTCCATTTTCTGAGACACTGGTAACAACTATAGGTAAACAGTAAACATACTCTCTTATCCAAAAACAGACATTTTCCTATCTTTAATTCTGAAATGATGTGGGAATGAAAGTATAAAAAAATGATAAGGGAAGCTTATTGACCTCCTCTACATCTTGAACTCTAATATTCATGGCATAAATTATATGATTAAATTAGTTATCTTTTTAAAAATCTTCTAATATTTAAGTATTTCAGCTTATTTTTTTACTTGCAGACTTTATATTACTAGACATCAAAGCATCAAAGTTATTTGAATAATAATACAGTGCCAAATCTTTAATATGCAGTTTCTCATCTAATTGTTCCAAAAACTTTTGAAAAATGGAATTTTATCCCAATTTTACAGATGACTCTAAAAGTTTAATTTTGCAGCTAATGTACCTGATTGGTCTGAAGCAAAACCTATAGTTTTAAATATTACATTATAGTGCTTCCCAAACAAATCAACTCTATTTTAAAATATTTTCTTATCATTCTAGACAATAGTGTGCTGATCTTCAGGAAACATTTTAGAAAAAATGATTTAGGAACTCTGGTCATCCATCTAGACTTGGGTGCTGCTCAGTTTCTCTGAATCACTCAGTACTGTGAAAGAATCCGAGCAGCTTTCTGAGCATTGATATTTATATAATATAGATGAACCAACGTTGAATTTAATTATCAACATTTTATTATGTTCTCAAGAGCTAAAAATATTAATTTTCTCTTATATGGAGTGTACGGTTACATTTTTGTTTGGGGAGAAGGAGAAGAGCAATCTGTGTGTATAGTTGTGTGCTACACATCCCGTAACTCCAAAGGACATCAGTGTGACATAACTTTTGAAGCTCCTGTTCTCTCACCAAGAAACATGTATAATGTGTGGTGGGTGCATGCTAAGCCACAATTTTCTTCTGCTACAAATACTAGACTAGACTTATAAATAAGCCTGTCTATCCCCTGAGTTGTTGTTACATTACATAATGCTCTTAAGTTATTAGAAGACATGTAATGTTGTTCTTTCCCTTCTCAAAAAGGAAGATTCAAAGTCTAGAAATAACATTTGATTGAAAAGATGGGAAACTAGAGTAAATACAGTTTAAAGTAATAATTAAGTTTTAGGAAAAATAAATAACTTGGTCAGAGTGATTGTGGTAGGTCATAGAAAGGATCAAGATCCTATTAAGGAAAGAATCTATAAAGTATAAAGCAGTTGAAAGGAAATAAAATAATAAATTTGGAAATTAATATTAGGAGCGAAATGTGTCAACATAAAATGGGTTGAGATAATTATTTACCTGTAACAAGTGATATACAACATTTTGTCTTTTCTGTGCTTCAGATAAATATCTGCCATTTTTTCTTTGGCCTCTATAAAATAAGGCTGTTCAGCTGTAACATTTTGTAACATGCTTAAAGCCCGTTCAGTATCTCCTTGGGCCAAAGCTAACTCTGCATTAGCAATAGTAACACGTAATTCTTCAGATGTTCCAGAAAATTCATGGATGGCATCTTGTAAAACTTTTGCAGCCTCATGCTGTAAAGATAAAATTAAAATATCATTTTTTCAAAATAGTCAACAAATTATACTAGAAAAGGGAAATCTTCTATTTACGCAGAAATCATGCAGAATTAGGATGAATAAATGATAATACAGTTATGATATATATAAAATAAACTCTGAAAAGTATAAAAATTTAAATTTAGAGATCAAAATCAGATGAGGCTAGAATATTTGTTAGCTGAATAAATGCTTTCACAACCAGAACAATAGAAGTTGCTACACAGAGTCACCGCTACTATAATTTAATGAGCATTTATTTACTTTGCACCCAGCATTGTATTAACCCATTTAATTCTCAATACTACCTCTAATAACTACTATTATTATTCCCACCTTGCAGTAAAGAAATTGAGATTTAGAGAGGTAGAGGTTAACAAACCAGAATTCAAACTCAGGGAGCCTGGCTTCAAAGCACTGTTTCTTAGCTATGTTCATTGCCATCCCTTGATGGGATCCATTCCAGTCATGACTGTGCATACTGGCTCTTCACTGAGTAGATTACTTTATTCCCTCCACTAAAACACTTTTGTTACTCTTTGAGTGAATATTTTACTCTATTTCCAAATGTGTTCCCCAATAAACCTAAAATGTCCTTTATTTAAAGATTTATCTAAACTTCGGAGGCTGTACAACATTCGAATTACAGAAACATTAAAATGTGAAAAAATATGCATCTAAGAATCAACTATCTATGGTACAATTGGCCCTATATTTATTAAATGTATTTTAAGTTATTAGCAAAATAGAAATTCTTTGTGATATGGCAAATATCTAGAAACACAGCCTACTTAATTTTCATTAAAATATGAAAATAACCAGCCTGGGCAACATAGTGAGAAAGACCTCATCTCTACAAAAAATAAAAATAAGTTAGGCATGGTGGCATGCACCTGTAGTCCTTGCTACTCAGAGGGCTGGGGCAGAAGGATTGCTTGAGCCCAGGAGGTCAAGGCTGCTGCTGCTCTCTATCTGGCCTGGGTAACAGAGTGAAACCCTAACTCAAAAAATGAAAGAAGAAAGAGAGAGAGAAAGAGAAAGAGGAGAGGGAAGGAGGGAGGGAGAGAAAAAGAAAGGAAGGAAGAATATAAGTAATTAGCAACTGCTACCTCCTAAAAAAATGATATAAGTAACTTTAAGTTCTTCACTTTTCACAAGGCTTTAGTTCTCTCATAACTACATCCATCCTCTCTATCTATCTAACCTGTATAGATGATGATTTTTAAAAATGTATTTGACTTAATGATATTCATATAGATTTACTAAAGCTGTATTTATCAAGGATTTATTTTTTCTCAATTATTAGAATTTCAGGTTGGTATTTTTATTTCAATAGTACTTATGCATGCATGAGTGTGTGTTTGTGTATATGTATGTCAGTCCTTTTAGAGATTCATAGGATTACAACGGCATTATTATTACCTTTCATGGGAGAATTATATTATTCCATTTCATGGTAATCAACATAAGCACCCTGATACTTAAGGTCACCCAGGAGCAAATCACGATTAACTTTCAAGGACTAGCAGAAAGTGTACGTTTTCAGTGTAAAATAACAAAAAATAAATTTTTTAAACTTCACCACTTCGTCAAGAGAATAATTTTAGCTTTTTCATTTTCTACTTTCAATTCAACTTTACCTACCTGTTCTCCATTTAAGCGGTGAACCTCTACCAATTCAAGGAAAAGTGATAAACGATGGCCTGTGTCAATTTCAGTTTTTCCGGATTTTGATTTTGAGGAAGTTCCAATTTTCTTCATTCCTGGTATACTCATTGCCATATGCAAAGTTTTAATTGCTTCTGCTATCTCTCCCATTTTCTTTTGTGACTGAGCTTTTATCAAATGATATAAAGGATATTCTCTCACCTGAAAAATAATATTTAGTAATACTTCCTAGAAGTGCCTGCCACTTCAACATATAATTTACAATCCATCAAATATTATAGTAATGGGGTCCTTGAGCACAGTCTACCTATTATTTTATGCACAAGGTCTATTTCTGTTCTCATATTAATTTTCTGATCATTTATTGTATTAAATCGGATTCTGGGAAACTGCCACTACCTAGCGTGCTGAATGACAAAAAGGTTGATTAGGTGTTTCTACTATGACAAAATGCAAACAAAGTTTATAAGGCTAGCAAATACATTTTAAGAAATTATTTGAGTTTTCAGAAAAGGAATTTCTTTATTTGAAGCTTCTAATACTGATATAGTTATTAGATTTCTAGAAAAAAAATTTTCCCCTTTTCTTTATTTTTAAATTTTAAGATTAAAAGTTTCAAGACACTTTAATCAATCACTGTCTTTACCCTTTGACACTACTCCTAAACCTGTAGTAATTAAACTTACATCTTTATTTTGGCTGTCAGCAGTGTATACAGAAAACATAAGAAATGACAAAATGAGTGAGGAAGAAAAAGCCAAAAGAGATAAGCCAAAATGAAGTAATGTGGCAACTGGCTAATGACTAGGAAAACTACAATTCTCCTAAGGCTGCAGTTCTCTACTATAGTCAGGCATCTCATGTACCCACGGAGCTTCATGGGAATAGGCATGCTTGTGATCTTCTCATATAGAGCCTGATTCACTGCAGGTGGGGAACCAACTCTTGAGTTATGATGCACCACCAGTCTTGAAAACTACTGCCCTAAGAAGCAAGTGATATTTTCTGCAAATCTCCATTAGAACTTGAATTCTCTCATTCACTGAAGGGTTTTCCCTTAACAGGACTCAGTGAAGCAAAGCAAAACTTTGAGACGTTTCTCCGTTATTCTAGGTAATTCAGGAAGCATTTTTAGTATTTTCTCTAATGCTAAGGGAATACTGGATGTAATACACAAAATATCATGGATAGAAATATAGTGTGTTTATGTCTTCAAGTCATAAAATAGCTTTCAAAATGACTAGATGTTCTGTGACAATAAGTCTAAAAAGAAGTTATTAAAAACCAAGGTCTAAGAAAGAAATAGATAATAAGATTTATTATCCTCATATATAAAAATATCTGGCATAATGCTCTTCAGTTTGCAAACTACTTTTACCACACATTCATTAGTAAATTTATTTCTCATTGTAACAGTCGATTAGTTGCATTTTATAGAAAGGAAATATGAGGTTCACAGAGAGATAAATGGAATAGACATTGGCTCCAGTCTTTTTTTGTCAAGTCTATATAGTTTTTTTAATTATACTAGAGTTGCCTCCATTTCTTCCCCTTCTGCTTGTGAGTTCATATTTTTTCCATTAAAAATGCATTTATTAGCAAAGTATTACAGGCTAAAACACAAGATACTCAAATATGCAAATGTTCATGGAGGGTGATATGTCTTATCCACTTGAGTCTGGAATACTTACCTTAAAATCATAGCTCAGACAAAGTTCAAGAGACTGAGAACACAATTTGAATTTTTCTTGAGACAAATAAACCTGAGCCATCAGGAGATGAGCCTCTGCATAGGAGGGATTGTGTTCTAGACAATGCTTCAGTTTATTCAAAGCTGCTTCATTATTACCTAATGAGTAAAACAAAGCATTGTTATTATTCAAGTGATTAAGAAATGGAAGTTTGAGAGTGCCTTGTTTATGGATAGTTCTAGTGCTTAAACTTCAAACTTTCTGTTCATTAGGCCACCGTCTAATTCTAACTGCTGGAGTTAGTTTCCTTCCGGTCCACATAAAAGAATATACCTGCAATGAGGACAGTCCTTGCAAGCAAACCAGGGAAAGCATGAGAGGACGAGAGCCAAGCACCAGTGTTACTGAGAGACCTATAAATGTACCTTTATTTTCCTTGTAAAAAAATGTTTTATTTACAATCATTAAATTAAGTTGTGTAAAACACAGATATTTAAACAGCTAGAATTCTGTAGTGCCATTTACCTTAACAAAGAGAATATAGTCTAGTAATCATTCTTGGTCAAAAACTGTATTACTGTAATACATAAAATAACAAAAAAGGTATAGGAATATATTCCAGAGATTCAGAAACATGAGTTATATATTTAAAATACCTTTAGCTATCAACTGAAATATCAAATGTTTTGGAAAACATCTGCTTTAAGAATATTAAAAGGAAATAATCAAGATTTTTTTTTTTGACTTGGAGTCTTACTCTGTTGCCCAGGCTGGAGTGCAGTGGAACTCTCACGGCTACTGCAGCCTCTAACTGTTGGGTTCAGGCAATCTTTCTCCCTTAACCTTCCAAAATAGCTGGAACTACAGGTACACACCACCATGCCCAGCTAATTTTTTGATTTACTGTAGAGAGGAGATCTTGCCAAGTTGCTCAGGCGGGTCTTGAACCCCTGGGTTCAGGTAATCCTCTTGCCTCTACCTCCCAAAGTACTGAGATTACAGGCATGAACATTGTGCCTGTCCTATAACCAAAATTAAAGTGACAGGAATGGTGGACTCAAACTTGGGCTGGTAGACAGGGTCGAAGAAGCTCTTCAGAGAAAAAACAGCACAGATTCTAGAACCTAGAAGTTTTAGCCTTGCATTGGTACAAGCAGGCCAACTTCCCATTCAACCTTGGTAGAAGAATGGGGGAAGAAGAAATCTAAATTATTCTCTGTTCAGTATGCCCCTCAACCATACCTGATGCCTCAAAAGACAAAATAAGGCTCGTAGTCAGGGCTTGCTAGTTACCTTAGGCATCACCTACTGATAATGGAAACCCATTGAAACAGAAAACCTTTCTCCGAGACAGAGGATTAACAGACACACAACTGGCTGAGGTAGCACAATAACTTACTAAACAATGTCAAGGCAATTTAACCATCAAACATAATTATTAATGTTGGATTCCTTTTTTATTGCGATGCAATCTCACTCAGAATTTCACAGGCAAAAAGAAAATGTAAAAGCATAATGAATTTGAGTGAACATTATTTTAGGAAGGAATAGGATTAATGAGACTGCATTGAAGAAAGAGACTTGCTAACCAGAGAAACGTCATAGAAATAAATAGGATTTGCAACTAAGAGACTAAAGAAAAAGATTGCATGAATAACTTAAATCAGAATTTTTCTTGTTTCTTTTACACGTGAGGGGAAAGGTATGTGGGGTTATAGCATCAGAAGGCCATGAAATATTTAAAAATGAGAATTGGGTCATTACTGTTGGGGAAAACAGACCACATCAACAGAGATCAACATTAACATCACATTCTTATCTAAGAGCAGCCCAATTTCCCTTGCATGAAAATAAAAGCCATTTTTGTCCTGCATGTCTGTCTTTGCTAGAGTACTATGTAATAAAGCATCTGGCTGGCAACTGTCTCAGTTTCCTGGGAGAGAGCCTCAAAATCTGGGAATTTCTCCAGTGGTAGGAGTAACTGTTATTCATGGTAGACCATCATAGTTTATCCTAATGCAGAGACTCATGGCGGGCGCCTAAACAGTTTATGCTAACTCTATGATTCGGGATGGGAGTTAGATATGCCAGAAAGACCAACCATGTGATTAGAGGACTGGGGGCTCTGAGCCACATATCAGCTGGAGGAGGTTGGAGACTGAATTCAATTACGTGGCCAAGGATTTAATCCATGCCTAATAAAATCCCAATAAAAACTATGAACACCAAACCCTGGTGAGCTTCCCTGGTTGGTAAAACATTGTGGCGGGCTTGGTGGCTCAGCCTGTAATCCCGCGCCTTGGGAGGCTGAGGTGAGTGGATTACCTGAGTCCGCAGGTTCAAGACCCGCCTGGGCAATTTGGCGAGACCTCGTCTCTACAATAAATCAAAAAATCAGCCGGGCGTGGTAGCGCGCGCCTGTAATTCCAGCTACTTGGAAGGCTGAGGCGGCAGGATCGCTGGCGCCCAGCAGGTCGAGGCTGCAGTTGCTGGAGCGGCCACTGCACTCCAATCTGGGCGACAGAGTGAGACTCCAACTCAAAACAAAAAACAAAAAAAACACAAAAAAACTGATTGTCATACATCACTGTGTCAGGAAGGTGATGTGTCCTGAATTCACAGGGAAAGTAAAATGGAAGCTTTGTATATGGTACCCTACCAGACCCTTCCCTGTGTATTTCTCCCTTTTGTTAATTCGGGTTGGTATACTGTTGCTGTAATAAAACTGTATTCATAAATCTAGTGCTTTCTTGAGTTCTGTGAATCATTCTAGTAAATTATAAACATGAGGGGGTTGTAGAACCCCTAAATATTTAGGCAGTTAGTCAGAAGTGGATGAGGCCCTAGGTATCCTCAAACATGTGGCTAACGTCAGAAGTAAGAGTTTTCTGGAGGACTATGCCCTTAACTTGTGTTGCTGGTCTAGCTCCAGTTAGCTGGTATCAGAAGTCACTGCAGTGGGAGACTTAATAAGAATACTACTATTTACACACATGCTTGCAATATTTCAAATGACTTAAGGCTGCTCTTTTTTAAAAATGGTGTTAATAGAAGAAATATTAATTCCTAAAGATTTTAGGAATCAAGTACTACTCAATTGTTACAGATTCATATAAATTTTCAGAAAAAACATTTAATAAATTAATTACAAAGATCAAAGTCCATGTGTAATTATCTAGTAGGTAATACTCATTCCAACTGAGAGGAAAATAAAAATATCATGTAGCTTAATAGTAGAATTCAATCAGAAGTATTATATGGTTATGTCTTCCTACTACAATATTTTAGGGAAGAAAGAAGCTTTTAACGTCAGTTTTTTTTTTAACAGAAGTCACAAAAACAGTAAAGGCAACCTTGTCATTTTCTCTATTATGTGCAGGAAATAACTGATTATGAAAATATCTTTAAGTTGTTTCTGCTCTTACAACTTTACAAGGTTTATTTACTGAGTATAGCATTCAGCTGGCAAAGGTACATATAGACAAGTATGATATGATCGTCTATTTTTATGTGTAAAGTCATATTGTTACATCTTAAAAAGCTAAGGTTATAACTAGAATTTTTATAAAGTTATACATAACTATTCACAGAAACTCAACAAGAACTAATCAATACATCTCATAAGGGCCTAAAATCTGGCAAACACTGTGATTGGTTATGCCAGTAAGTAAATAACTACGAATTAAAGACTGAAAATTCTTATTGCTAGCCCCCAATGAACTTTTTTAAGTGGTACAATTATATTTTCCCAGCAATTCACTTGGCCCATAACAATCTGCAGTAATTTTTAAAAGATTAAATAATAAATTAGGTAATTCTACTTGGGATTAAAATTACTTATCTATGCATATGCAAAATGTACATTTTATGTGACTATTCTACATACAGATGGAGTACTTTATTCCTTTACACATATTTTTTATCAACATTAGAAGAAAAAGGTTATTTAAAGTTTTAAGGTATATTGGGTACACTTAAAGCCTTGACTTTTTTGCCACTATACAATGCAACCATGTAACCAAAAACTATTTTTACTCCCTAAAATGACTGAAATAAAGAAAATATATATACATATAAGAAATGAAAAAAAAAGTTTTAAGGTATACTCTACCTGACAAATATTTCACTTTTGCTAATAGGAAGACAGCTCGCAGAAGACCTGGCACAATTCTTACTACAGTCTCCAGGACTGAGGTACAACGTCTAAGAACAGGAGAAAGAGGTTGCCCAGGACTTGCTGGCTAAATAAAACAAATCAGCAGATCAATTTATAAATTTAAAGTAATATTTAGCTAAAAAATAAATACATTAATTTTAGTATGACCAGCAAAACTGTATATACTTTTCTAAAATTTCTCTTATTCTATTTATTTTATTATACCTTTACTATGGCTGGACTAATACTAATTTACCTCCCTGGGATCTATAAACAGTCCATACATATAATGGCTTTTGTTTGCAAAATAATTATGAAACTATTATACAATCATTGATCTGATAATGCATTAAAGAAACATATCTGTTCAAAAACTTTATCAAAGAAACATCTCTGTAAAGGAAAGATATCTAAAAGAGTTGGGTTTCTTGCTGGAATTAATAATGCCAAGGCAATGAATGTTCAAATTCTAGATCTGCCTTGTGATTTACTCAATTAAAACTTTCCCTATCCCCTATAGTACTGTAATGCCAGTTTTTAAAGAATTGAGATTTCTTTTCCCCAGTAGTACTCAGAAGGTAGGACACTCATGTATACTATACCAGATGATTCATGCTTTTACATTCTCTACTTTTCTGCCTGACATGCTGCAGGGCTTCAAAGTTTTTCTTTCTATTAATAGTGAGCAGAGTATGATCATTAAAGCAATACTAGAACACTGTTTTCCTCTTCTAATGACTGTCTACTCAACCAACCTTTATCCAATGGTCATCCAAACACAATTTAGTACTGTGATATTAGAATTTAAATATCAAATGCTCATCCCTCTGCTTTGCCTTACTAACACTATTTCCTTTATATGAAGGATGATCCTCTCCATCCCCCTACCCTTCACCTGACACATAGAGATTTGTAACTAGGCTATATTCTCATGAGGAAAATTATTCCTATAATGAACCATTGTTAATGACAGTAAAGTGCTACATTTCACCTATGTGGAGACAAAACATGTATACTCAACAAGATATTTACAATATGACTTCTGTTGCCCAGACTACTTCAACTTCTTTGCATTTTCCACATATAATCTACACAATAAAATTTAGCACTGTATAGTGTAGTTCTATTAGTAGTTTCAAACTTAGTTTTGCTTCTTTTATAGAACTAAGGATTTTTATGTCATGAAGATCAGGATTTTACACTTCTTTGAAAAGTAACAGATACAAAGTAAATTACTTAAAATATGCATTTTTTCAACATAAGTAAAAATAGTAAAAGTGATGGTGAGGTTATAATAGTATTTTTTGCCACCTGCTAAGAATTAGTTATTGAGAACCATAATTTTTACTGCGAAAGTTTGTGTGCGATCATAGGAAAAAGAATGTGAATACAATCCTTAAAATATCATTTGTCCAAATTAAATTTGAATAAAAACTATATTTATAAAATGATCAATGAAGTAGGGCAGGGCTGGAGAGACAATTCCAACTTCCAAGCAAGTGAAAATGGATCATGACTGGGGAAACTAAGAACAACCCCAGACACAATTCTATGAGGATTTGGCTTTAAAAAAAAAAAAGTAATGAAAGCCTGAAAAAGGACACAATAATAAAAAGCAGCACAGATTTCCTTAGGGAAGGCCATTTTCCTCATTTCCTTGTTAAAATAGTTCTGAAGCTGTAGATCAGGAAGAATACTAAGAACTTTGCTTTTAGCAAGCAAGTATGTGATAGCACTCCTCCTGATATGCCTGTGTTGAATGTGAGCTGAATACAATAAAGTTAGGATGTTTGTATCTGCTTACTATGTGTAATAAAACAGTGCTGACTAATGGATCCACATCAATCTGAAAAGAAGTCTCTGGCAGTATAACACAGGGTTCCAACCTCAGTTCTACTCAAAATTGTTACTGTTTGGATGAGACCATTAAAATTATTTCAGAGCTAGATAAAGCAGATGATAAATGACAGTAAGGATCCATATAAAATAGATGTTAATCAAGATCCACAAAGAATATGGCATTACGGGATAAATATGAAGAGATAACATTTCATAGGAATAAATGTAGAGTCCTACATTTGAGTTCAAAGGTACAAGTAACAGAACCAAGGAGTTTAGTTAACTAGTTAATTCAGTAGAGGTCAATAACGTAATGTGATTTGCAAAAAAAAAAAGGCTGGATGGGCATCTAGAATAAGAAAAAAAAAGGTCTACTTTAGGTCTTACAGGTCAGATCCATATTTGGGATAGTGAGTTTTGTGAGAGGCACAGACAAAATAAAGGATATCCTTAGGTTCACCCCAGGGCCCTCAAAACGGTTTCATATAAAACATAAATGGCTAAAAGCCTGGAATTGTTTAAAGAAACATGGAAACTAGTTTCCAAAATCTAAATGTCTGTTTTATGAATGAGAAATGTTCCTTGCTTTGACTAAGTAACTAGTTTTGCTCTATGTCAGTCCAGGGAGCTGAAGGAGGAGCAGTAAATGATACTTCTTTAACACAGTTTGACTTAACATAGGAAATACAATCTAATAATCATAGTTAAACAATCAAAACTTAATTTTTGAGTGTGTCCAGAGGTTGGATGGGCACTTGATGTTACAAAGTGGATTCAAATATAAAGTAGCTGTCTGTATCAGATGACTTTTAATAGTTCTTCTAAACTGAAAATTTTATACAAATAAATATTTGGAAACCAATACTTTTATAAGCTGATAGCCATCTTTACTATAAGTATCCTGATTAAAAACTATTTCAGCTAATACAGATTCAAGTACTATCATTTTAAGATGCTGAGGTATTCTAAGGCATTAAAGATAACTTATTAGCACTTATAAAACATCATGTAAATACACCCTTGAAAATAAGTCCCAAAATTACTTACCTGTGCTGGACAAAAGTTCAGATATTCTGTAATAATCTCTAACAAGAAATCAGGATTTAGCTTTTCAAAATACTGTATGCCAAGAGGTAAATCTTCTACGTGTGAAAAATGAGTATCCAGGACATTATTTAACAAATTAATAACTTCTTCTTGTCGCTTATTTTTCTTTATAGCAAGAACTGCATGTAAATAGGTTAATTCCTGGGAAATAAGTCATTTTCACAAATTATTCCATTCAGTTATAAAGTCATTTATTTCTACTTAGATTTCAAATGTGAATAATGTGCTATTTATGAGCAATTATTTGCTCAAACTTAAGTATTAGCTTGGAAGGACTTTTTAGAATCATTCAGAAGAATATTTAAAGTGTAGTTTTGCATGAAGGTTGAGTTAATAATTACATATTAAAATTAATGTACATTAGTTCTTTAAAGTCACTGCTAAACAGTAAGACTGATTTAAAATTTAGATTTTATACATAACTGCTAGGATCTACTATTTGATAAAATAAATACTGTACCGCAGATTTTTCAATGGACTGCTGAATTTCACTAAGAAATTCTAGCTGCTGATCTGCATCCTGTAACTGCCCTTCTATTAATTGACACCGAATAAATCCTAAAACCAGATAGGACAAAAATAGTCAACCATACCAGTTTAGCACGTACACTTCAAGTTAACATAAGGAATATTCATACTTCATCAACAAGGATACCTGCACAATGAACATTTGTGTACTTAACCCTGAATTGTATGCTACAGCTTTAAACAATATAATAAGTTATATATATCAAATTAAATGTACATTATTAAAAAAGTTTTAAAAAGATTCTCTTTAAGATTCTCTTAAAGCATCATAATGCTTTAAACATTTAAACAAAAACAACAGAGAGATGAGAAAGAAGAGCGTTAAAGAAAGTAAAATGGCAGCATGAATTTATATAAAATCATTTACTAAACAATTTATAGGAACTATGTCATAAAAATCTGTTCTTTCAAGATATTACTTGTGAAGCAAAAATTTGATTTTTAACGATGTATGACTTTATTGTGGACAGTAGACAACAGTTTAATTTTAGAAAAATCACAAAATACATTTATTCTACTATAATGGCAAGTTACATCTATATTAGGAATATTTATGGAAATAGTGATCATACCAATTAGTGCAGAGATACTAGTCTCATCAATTGTCATGGCAATCTTATACCACTTCAATGCCTCCTTCACTTTTCCTTGTAAAATCATTTGGTATCCAAGTTCTGTAGCAAATTCAGATTTCTGAGAGTTTAAATTAAAAGCTTTCTCTAGCAATGTTTGAATTTTTTGAAGAATCACGTGACTACGTCCACACTAAAAAGAAAAAAAAATTATGTTAGATAGAAGTCAAACACTTCTACTGAAGGATTATTTTTTAATCCCCCCCTTACTTGTACTTCATAGGAGTGAAGGAAAGGACATAAATTTATTTAATAATTAAAGAAATATAAAACTTTTCTATTAACTATCCAGACAATGCATCAAGAGTTTATATCCTAATGATTAGTGCTTTTACTAAATAGCTAGTACAAAAAAGCATACTTCTAATGATGTTACACAAACATATTTTTGAGAACTCCTTTTCCACACTTTCTCATGACTGTTTTACAAATTAGACATAAAAACTATTATTTTAAGGTTTTATATATATTTACAATATATGTATATTATTTTTGTGTTGAATCAATAACTAAGACTAGGATCTGTCTGCCTCCTAAAGACTAGCTGTGCTAGAATATAAGATAATGGCTTAGAATCTTCTTGAAAAAAACTTCAAAAATATTTTAAGAAATGGCAATGTTGTTAAAATAAGCATATAACTTTTGGAGACAACAACTTTTAAGAGTAAAACACTTATTTACATGTTTTAATAAATTAATTAGTTTTGTAAGCCTAATAAAAAACTAATCAAAATGATGTGTCTGGCAATAGGCAAATCTCCTCCTCAATTAAAATCTTCCTCTAACTTCACAATCTAACAATCTTTGTTTTTAAATAAAATATTTCAGTTTATTCATGTCATTTAACAATTAACATCCTTGCTTTTTTCTTTCAACTTTATATTTGCTAATTATTTTACATTCTCTGTATATCTTTCCTGGTTTTTTTTTTTGCTATTTTATTAGCTTTTCAGTCTTCTAATTCCTTATACTGATTTCAAGATTCCACTGCATTTTTCTATTCCTTTGCTTATTACCCTCCTTTTATTAGGAGTTTATAAAAAAAAGATACCAATCATTTCCTCAACCAAATTAGTCTACTATCCAATTTTAAATATTTTTAAAAAATAGTTTTTAAGAACAAAATCAGGCCAGACGCCATGGCTCACTCCTGTAATCCCAGTACGTTGTGAGGCGAGAGAATTGCCTGAGCCCAGGGGTTCAAGACTAGCCTGGGCAACATGGCAAGAACTCATCTCTACAAGAAGTATTAGCCAGGTGTGGCAGCACATGCCTGTAGTCCCAGCTACTTGGAAGGAGGAGGTGGAAGGAT